TATAGATTGGGATTTTGAGATATTGTCTTGATTTGGATAGTCTTATTTGAGAAGATAATCTGTCTTTATTTGAGAACGTTGTTGAGGATGTTGGTCTCGAGGATGTTGGTCGTTGAGTTGCAGGTTCTGGCAAGGGACTTGTCAAAGTGATTTTATGTGTAGTCTGTAGAGGTAGTATTAGCCAACTCAAAACATAAATGCTTGTAGACAGTGAGGGTGAAACTCAAAACAAAAATGCTTGTAGCCAACTCGAGCCCGCAACCTGGGTGTTTCCGAAAGTTTGGATTTTGGAAGTGGTTCTTGTGAGAAGTGCAGCTCAAGAAAAGCAGGAATATAGCATGATCAAATCCGAGCGGCGACATTCTTGAGCCTAGGGTGTTTCATAGCTGGTGGTCTTCTGTGTAGTCTTTGTTATTTTTTTATTTTTTTTTATTTGGATTCTAGTCTTGGTTGTAGCAGGCTAGCAGGGCTCAGCACTCCGGCTCCCTGCAGTTTGCCTTTGTTTTGTTCCGGAGTTAGGCCAATTCGGCTGGTTATCTCATTCTCATTCGGTGTGTTTTCATATATTGCGCTGGTCAGAGTAAGTCTGGGAAAATTTCAAAACTAGTCCAACATATATAGGGGTGGTGATATTTTTTGTCCAGACAGAATAGTGAAAATCAAAAGTCTCACAACTTTTAAAACTTATTGAAAGTAAGACTTTTGATGCGATTTTAGGCCCGGAAAGCCAGGGGCGGTCTAGAAATTTTATTGAGTGTGGACCTAAAGCTATTATCGAGAGATGGCACAATGGTCTAAAAAGAAAACGTAATTTTTTATTTTTTATGGTTGATTTATTAAAACTAAATAAATTATGATTTTCAAACTCATAAATATAATATTAAGTTCTTATACTCAAAATCTTTTACAAACAAAAACTATTGTCGAATCTCTTTTAAATGTGTTATAGCATGAACCTTAGAATATATTATGAAGATAATAATAAATTAGAATCATAATGTTGTTACTATATTTATAAAAAGGGATTGGATCGAATTGGCTGGAGTTGAAATTAATAAGTTGATCATTTTGGTTTGGATCAGTAAAAAACGGTCAAAACTGGCCAATTGGATGGATCCGATTTTTTTCCTTTTAAGAAATAAGTTTTGAAATTTTAAATATATTTTTCAAATAAAAAAAATATTTGTGTAAATATTAAATATCCATAAAATTATTATATTGATTAGTTTAGACATTAGTTTTGAAATTTTAAATATATTTTTCAAATAAAAAAATATTTATGTAAATATTAAATATCCATAAATTTATTATATTGATTAGTTTAGACATTTGCGTATTTTAAATTACCTAAATGTTTAATTAAGACTTAATTTTATATAAAAAAAAGTTGATGATTATTTTGTGTAATATATATTTATAAACATTAATGTATTAAGAACTAGTTCAAGTAATTAATTATAACTAAATTGTTTATTTACCTGTACATGTAAATATCTCCGCCTTGGAGTTTTTTCCGCCACAAATGGCACGAGTTGAGAAAATCGACATTCAGAACGTTGTATACTGTTACAAAAAAATAATTTTAAGAAAAAAATGTTGAAGCACTGTACAATTGTGACTGTATTATCGAATATTCACATTTCTAATTTTTTGTTTGCAATTCTATAATTATTTATTTGAAAATATAGTAAAAATATACTCATGAATAAAACATCTTTTTGTCATTTTATAATAATTTAATATTAAAAAGAAGCTATAAGAGTATCTATTAATAATAAAACATCACAAAATAAAAGAATTAATCTTTTTTTTTTTATTTTAATGTATATTGCATCCTTATTCGTAATTAAAGTTTTTTACAACAGCTATAATAAATAATTATATATATATTAATAATCGTGTCTTAGATTTTACTTAATAATTTATATAGCAGCAAAACAATATAAAAAATAGGAAAATTTCAAAACTAGGCCTACGGGTATAGTGTCATGCCACGTGTGATGATTGTTGACAGCGTGTCAAGAAAAAATGCCACTTCCGGACGATGTGACTTTTCGAGTCAAAAATCACATCACAAGTCCTACTTTTGATTAATTTTTTAAAGTTTTGGGACTACTTTGATTTTCACTATTTCGTTGGGACAAAAATGTCACCCCTATACCTATATTTTTTTGAATATACCCTTTCAAAGGCATTAAGGGGCTGTTCGATTGGGAAAATGAGGGGATTTTTTTTTTTTTTCTCTCTTGTTTTGTAGAGATGTTGAAAGGAGATGGAAGGAAAAAAAAAAATTAAGTAGAAATCCCTCCCCTCATTCATTTCTCTTGCACTCGAAAAAGTGGGAAATTTGGAGGGAATGGAAAATTATGTAACTGAGATTACTATTATGCCATTATTTTATGTAATTATTATTATTTTTTTCTAACATCATTAAGATATAATTGTCATTTTACATCATTTTCTCATCTTTTCTATTTTTATATTCAGTCTCAAATTTGTGTTCAATTATTTGAATCGTACGCAACATCATGGGTAAATTTTTAGTTCTAGCGACATCATTGATTAGACCAAATTCGCACATCATGTTGAATTAAATTAAATAAGTATAAATCGTGTATTTTTGTAATAAAAGAAATTAAATCAGAAGCAGAATAAATATTTGATATAAAAAAGTTTAACAAACACAATTAATTGCCTATGATTCATGTCAATGTTTAAACGTGTGCAAATAACACTTAATTTATTTTATAATGACAAATATCTACTCACTGTAATTCACACGTTTTTTTTTTTTTTTT